TTTTCTTCAAATGGTAACAGAAAATCAATGCTGTCCGCAAATCGTTGTTTCCAGGCACAAAATTCGACATGTTCAACGCTATTAGAAACTATACTGTTGTATGAAACTTGTATTGTTGTGAGTTGAAAATCTTTGTCAGATGTCAGAACAAGGAAATCATGTCAATGAGGCGGTCTGACGGCAACTACATTGATAGCTATGGCCATCTATTGGTAAATTCCGGTTTCATATTTACATACCTGGTAGTAAAAGATATATATTTTTTTTTAGTTATTGGAAGGAGATCTACGCGTCCTTCATACGCGGTTGCAATTTCCTTGATAATAAAATGAGCGTCGTAACCGGATAAGTTATGAAAGACTACAGGTATGCAACGCGAATCTCTGTAATTTAGATTGTAATTTGGGTGCGCGGGGCCTCTGTATCGCCTGGTGAGATGGCAGTGATCGCGTACTCGCGTATTGTCCGGTGTGAACGGTTTCTCGCACACGTGACAGTGCGAGGCGTTGTTAAATTTTTCCCAGTCGTCGCGCGTGAAATCTGTCATGGAAACATTAGCTGAAATTACAGACTGTACACTATGCCCCAAATTTTTTAATTCTTCCGCGAACCACGCTATACAGTCTTTGTGGCGGCGAAACCGATAATCTGACAGTCAGCTATCGTAGGAGCAGTTCACGTAATACCCGATACTGAAGACGTTGTGATGTTGGTACGTATGCGTAGCTGATGTTAGATCCTTATCTGTTTTCTCCAACGCACACTCAAGATCTGCGTAGACTACGAACGGGACGCGTTCTTTCCTGCAGTGGTTGCGGAAGCTCAGCCATTTGTCGTCCTCGCTCGGCAGTCTTATCGCACAATCGTTTAATTTCCCACAGTCCTCAGTATGGATCTCCAGTTTTGCGCTCGTGCTAAAGTAGTGGATACATCTGGAAACAATTATTATTATTATTAGTATTATTACTATTATCATCATTATCATTACCATTATTATTATTATTATTATTACATACCTATCGCAGAAATATTTCTTATGCTCCTTTTTATTGATTTGTGAGTTGACTAATCGAGATAAATCTTTGATGAGTGCAAAGTGTCCTACGTTATCGTCCTCCACGTACAAGAGGTTTACGTGCTTGCTCCTCTTTCGATCGATAAGTCGTATCGGCACAATCCCCTTCTCGATAGCGTAGACGTTGATGGAAATGTCATTTAGTGCTTAAAATTTCTTAATCTGGCTCAGTGTCATCGGAAATTCGATGCCCGCGAGTTTTAAAACTGTGGAATAGGGTGGATATGATGTCTCTCACTCCACATGTTTTTGAGCTGGATGCAGAGCGGCAACCACCGACCACGCAAAACACGCATTGTCCGTGGATTGCACGTTGATCACCGCTCTCTTTAACATAATTTCTCGCAGGAGTTTGATGTGACATCCCGCGCGCAGAGGATTTAGTTTATTCGCGTTCACCGCCAAATTTAATATACGCGACAGTGCCCATCCGCTATCACGTTCCTGAAACTCTTCCAACGATGCTAGGACAGGCTCAACGACGCGCGTTACGTACCACTCGCGCAAATTAGTGTATCGGTATAGTTCATTGTTCCGGGTGGCGATACTCTTGTTCGCGTGTTTATCACCAGCCACGAACTCACCATTAAAAACAGTGTTTATTTTTATAACGTCATATCCAGGGATGAGAAGTAACTCGTTACTTGTAACGAAGTTACAGTTAGAGTTACTTTTTTTCAGTAACTGTAACTTAACTT